GGGGGATGAACAGCGAGCGTCGAGCTTGAAAGCGCTTTTAACATATACCGCTGCCACGCGTGGCCTTTCTCGTAGGCTGCAGGCTCAGGACTGTGGTGTCTGCGAGGCGACTGTGTAGCCTGCAATGAAAAAGCCCCACAGACGTTCATCCCCGGGCTGGGAAGAGTGTCCTGCTTAGCCTCCGTCTTTCACGGAGAATGCAGAAGGCACAGCCATGGAAAAGAAACCACACTTCGTTAGGAGGGAGTTTCCTCCCAGGGAGGTGTCATCTGTCTCGTTGGCATTTCTGCTCGCGGCCGTCCTGCTCCTTAATGCCCTTCTCTACCTGTACGTCAACAAGTTTTACATCGCTTCGGGACGCGCCGAAACAGACCCCGGCCTCTGCCCTTTCGGGTACTTCAAATTGGGAGCGGTGAAGAATTGTTCCCCGTGGCTCTCCTGCGAAGCCATAAATAGGGAAGTCAGGAAACTCAAGTGTGTTGGTGAAGGTGCTGTGAAAAAGGTGAGTTTGGTTTTCCTTTCTTCTCTCCTGTGGATAAAGAGCTTTCACTGTTCACTGGCTAATTAATGCCCATACTGCTTTATAATTATCCTTGCAGCAGCTAATTACTGTAGACATCCAGGGGCATATGGCCACTGATAAGGTGCACAGAACAGGTGGGAGAGCATGACCAGAGCCCTGGGCCACCTCTCTGACACTGAACGACATCGAGCTACACAAGAAAAATCACAGAGATCGGTGAAGTGCTTGTGGAGCGTGGTACAATCATGGCAGAGTAAGCCTGGCTGGTTGGGTGGTATGAAATAATTTAATTCATCTGCATTGCCCATTCCAAAGAAAACTTAGGAAATTGTGATGTAGTTACGATGTCGGTAAGGGCTTGCTGTGACAGGTACATGGCCCTACCTAAAGGCTTGACCCTGCCTGGTGACTGTAATTTGCGGTTGTGACTAAGCAGTCACTCGGAGGTCAGCGGCAGCTGGTAGCAGTCAGTGGAAGAAGGCTCTCCACGTGTCTTATGTGTCTCTTGTGTTCTCAGGTCTTCCTTTCCGAGTGGAAGGAAAACAAAGTGGTCCTTTCGCAGCTCACCAACTCAGAGCTGAAGGAGGACTTTCTCCATGGACTGAAGATGCTGAAAGCACTTCAAAGCAAGCACGTTGTCCGGCTGCTTGGCTACTGTGTGCAGCAGTTCACAATCCTTACCGAGTACCATCCTCTAGGCTCCCTGAGGGGCCTGAATGAAACTCTCCACATCCCCAAGTACAAGGGCATGAACACCTGGCATCGCAGGTTGATGCTTGCCATCGACTATGTGAGTGTCATTCGGTACCTGCACAGCAGCCCTCTGGGCACCTTAGTGATGTGCGACTCGAATGACCTGGACAAGGTCCTCTCTCAGTATCTCCTAACAAGTGACTTTCACATCCTGGTGAATGATTTGGACGCTTTGCCTCTTGTGAACAGGAGTGCCGGCAGGCTGGTGAAGTGTGGTCATCGAGAGCTCCGGGGCGAGTTTGTAGCTCCTGAGCAGCGTTGGCCCTATGGAGAAGAGGTGCCATTCGAGGATGACCTCATGCCTCCCTATGACGAGAAAACAGACATCTGGAAAATCCCAGATGTCTCCAATTTTTTCTTGGGCCACGTTGAAGGAAGTGACATTGTGCGACTGCATTTGTTTGACATCCACGCAGCATGTAAGAAGAAGGACCCGGCTGAAAGGCCTTCTGCCCAAGAGGTCTTAGACACCTACAGGAAAGTTTTAACTCTGCTTATTCGGGAGGCGGCCATGCCTGGTACTAGGGAAATGTTATAGTGAATCATGAGACAAACGACATACTGAAGTTGATGTCCTTCCTATTTATTTAGCTTGCCTGAAGGGCAAAATCTCTGTCCCCAAAACTGAGAAGATAAAAACAACTGAATTTGTACCTTTTGATTTAAAAAAAAATAAATCCACCCAATGCTGGAGCTGTGCAAGCTTCCCATTGGCATGTTTAATCTATTGTTGGAAGAGGAGGAGGGAAAGAAATTAAGTTGTGTGGGTGCAGGGGGAAATTTGTTCCTCAAGAAATAATAAATTTTCTTTTGTAACATTTACACAAAAACTGTCTTAAAAAAATTTACAGAAGAAGAGTTAAAAAAAAATACTGGCCCACTTAAACTGGTTGGCAGAGGACTGGAGAGCAGAGACCATGGCATGTGCCCCACAAGCTTTGTGCTGATTCCTGTGGCTTTGGCCCATGTCTTACCTACAAAGCCCTCACCCACTTCCCCTTGGAGTAAAAGCAGTGGGTGAACCCCGATGCCAAGGCCCCCAGCGGCAGTGTCTCCCTGCTGGATGGGGAATAGGTTGGTTTTGGAGCTGTACAGCCATTGCTCTGTGGGCCCCATATCCCATACCAGCAAGCATGTGGCCATTTTGTAAGCAAGCAGGTCATGCAGATCCTGAAGAGACTGCTTGCAGACACGTGCTCTTGGTTTTCAAGCCTTCGCCCCGTAGTGTTCTCAGATGGGCTCTTTGGAGATGAAGCTGTAAAACAGGAGTCTCTTGCTCTTTTTTAATCCACAGATATCCTGAGCACTTTGGAAGAGAGCTGAAGCGTATCTTTTTTTCATTCACTTATCCTTGCTGAGTGTCATCATGACTCCATGGAAGGAGGGAGAACAAGGAACTGAAGGAGAATGTGAATTCCACAGCAATAAGCGTTAAACAAGAGCTTTGGAAAATAAAAGCCGTATAGTCAGAGCATACAACTCTATTGGGTCTGAATACAAAGCCTGCTAAGCATAAAGAAAGGCTGCTTTTTTGTTCAGTGTGTTTAGGAGAAAGCTTTTGGTACCTGCATAAGTGTTACAGCGTTGTACCAACAGGAAAGGAAGAATAATGATGCCTTAATCCAGCAGTAGGCTCTGTTTGGTGGGACTGGGATATACTTGTTCTCTTGGTGAAAAAACAGGAATAGTATGAATGAGACACATGGGCTCTACCATTATGCACCGGAGGACTTTCTGTTCTGCAGACTAGGTCTTTGAAAGACCTAAGGGCCTGAGACAACATTCATGTTTTGACCTGAGAGGTGATTTATAAGCAGAGAAGTACATGGTCCTTTCTGCTGAAGAGTTTGATTCTGTTCTTTGCTGTGCTGATATTCCTCTTCACCTAAACAAGCCGTGTTATCACTGCACTGAGAACATGCAGTCAGTTTGTATACATAATGTTGAAACACACATGTGTTCTATTGCTACCAAAATTTTATTATAAATGGGAAAACTTTCCTGCGAATTACTAAATTCATACCTGATTTCATACAATGCCAGCGGGAGCTGGCATTTAAAGACTCCTTATTATGGCTTTCCTTTCCTTCTGGGCAGTCTATTTTCTTAAATTAGCAGATTTTTGCCATTTTTCACTTGTGCAGTCCTTCCTGGCAGCTTTCCTGCTCAGGTTCTCAGGAAGCAAAGCTCCTCAGGGTCTCCAAAAGAGAACAATGATTTTTGGATGCTTCGTGTTTGTTTTGGACTTTGACTCAAAACATTTTAAAGAAGCCTGGGGAAAAAGAATGCTCTCTGTTGTAATTGTATCATCCAGCCCATGAACTCTTGAGTCGTTATTATTAGGGTTAGAGTTCTACAGTTCCAGCATGAATCCAGGATGTGCAACAGTTGGAAGAGCATCCTGTTACAGCTCTTCAAAGCCGGGGATCAAGCTTTGAAGGGCCAAGAGTCAAACCTTTTGCATGTGTCCCCAGCAATAACTCGTTACCTCTTGTTAGCCATCATGTATACTTGAAAGAAAAATCAGCATCTGATGGCTGTGAAGTAAACATACCATGCATTTTTTATGAGAGTAGCAAGGACAGACAAGAAGAACCTGCCAAGCCTCTTATGCTGGTCTCTCTTGGTTAAGACAAGCTTCTGCTTGGATTCTTGCTCTGTTGTGTACTGTTGCACCTTGCAAACAGCCATATTAATTTCACAGAGTGAAAAACAAATGAGGACAAATTCTGGTTCTGAGTAATTATCTTGCTGTGGAAATGTCTCTGTTCCTGGATGAAATAGTTACAATTTTTTTTAAGAAAAGGTGTCTCCCTAAATATTCACCCTGAGCACAGTCCTCTGCATGTCTCTTCCCCATTCCCGCTCCTTCAGCTTGTGTGTTGTCCAGCTTTG